AAAGCTTTCTAGAAGCTTCATAAATATGACTTTGACTTTATATATATTTGTAGTTGATTAATGGAATAAAAACTTAATCAACAAATTAACCATATATTGTATGTATTGGTAGCTTATAAAATAAGCTAACTATAAGGTGTACATATAAAAAACTTATCTTGCAAGTTGAAACATGTGTCTTGTAATTTGGACATGTATTGGAGGTCCTAAAGAACATCACTACATAGCTTTTAATTAAATAGTATATATGGAGGCAAGAATGAAGCCTTCTTCACTCTTGTCAATGTCTTTGTGCTCGTTAGTCTTGTTTTAAGACTTTCTAATTTTCTTGTTTTGGCAATAATAATTCTAAATTTTAATATTATATTAGTTTTGAATGAATATCTATTCTTTTGAGTTACATAAGAGTATATTGAATTTTTTATTCTTTGCAATTTATATTCTTGGTAGTTTAATAAGAAACTTAATTTTTTGTTCTTGTTTTATTCTAATAGTGAATAGAATATTCAACTTCTATTGTTACATTTTTAAAGGTTACAAACCATCTACCTTTCAATTAACTTATAGTTTTTTAAAATTATTTTTTTTCTTAGAAAGAGAAGATTATCTCTCTTTATAAAATATTTATTTAATATTAGAGGTTAAAAATTACCTTATTTTAATTTAATTTTTTAAATTTATTTGAGTTATCTATGAAAAAAAAATTATGGATATTATTCTTAAAAAAAATTAAAATAGATTTGAAATTATTGCAAATCTTCACAAGCTTGTCAATACTCTTAGGATAGAAATCTCACGTATTTTTATTATGAATCATGGAGATACTATTACTATGCCTATAAAAAAAATTAATCATAAAATTCAAAGTTTCCACCAAAAATTTTTATAATTAAGAAAAAGAAGTAGATCAAATTGACTACTAAATTCAAGAAGTTTAATTACTATAAATATAAAGAAGGACATAATAAATATATTAGAGAAGTTTGATGGAAGAAGATCGAAGTTTTAAGGGTTTTTACAGAATTAAAACTCTTTCCAAGATTGCATTCTTTTCAATATTCTAATAGATTATTCAATTTAAATTTATAGAAGCACTTCTCTTTAAAAATATTCTTTTTTGATTTTTATCTTTAATAGAATATATTCAAGATTAATCTTAGATTTGATTTCATTGTTGAAAGTATTTTCAATTATACTTGAAAAAAGTGATTGACAAATTATAGCAAAGACCAAACTTGTATCTCTATAATAATAATCATGTTTAGCCACTGTATATGCTACTAAATTTCAAAACCTTTTTTAAAATATAGATTAGAATAATAAAGATTTTATAAATTAATTTTGATATAAATTAAAATTTAATATCAAAGATTTATTGTTGGCATTGCTAAGACTAGATTTATTAGAGTAGTTTATTAATCTGGCCATTGTATGCAACAATTGATTCTTTAAAAGACATCAAGAATAAAGATTTGGTTGAAGATGTACAAATGAAGCGATGGCAACACCTTCTAAGTTTTTGGAAGCTTATTCATCTAAGCCAAAGCCTATATAAATTTACATAATAGGAAATTGAGCAAAAAAAGACTCATCATTATCAAAAAGGTTTCTACTTATATTGTAGAGAATCCAAGCATACAACTCAATATTTTCCTAAAAAACTTAATCAAAAAATAAAGAGCTTGGTTGTGAAAGAAGACAATGTGTCAAAAAATAAAATCTTTAAGCTACAATAGAGACTATGCAGTTGGAATCTTATACATTATCTAGTAAAGGTTTTATTTTTTCCTCAGATCTCTCACCTTATTTTATAATAGAAGTTTATTTAAGACCAACTATGAAGGATATGAAATAAAAGTTGATGCATAAACAATGAAATCCATGTCAAAGAAAGAGTGACAAAATAGAAATAAGAAAGTATGTATATTAAAAGAAACTCGAAAGGCTTATTACTAAAAGACAAGAAAACTTGAGACTCTTGAAACTAGACTAGAAGCAAGAAAGGAGTTGACAAGAGTGAAGAAGGCTTCACTCTTGTCTCTATATATACTATCTAATTAAGGGCTATGTGGTGATGTTCTACATGACCTTCAATGTGTGTTGACTTTGTAGGACACATGCCTTGACTTATAAGGTAAGTTTTTCTACGTGTGGGCCACATAGTTAGGTTGATCTTCAAGCTAACAACATGTGTGGCACATGGCCAATTTATTGACCACGTTTTTAGTCCAAAAAGTCAATTAAAGATACCTATAAAGTCAAAGTAACACCTATAAAGTCAAAGCAACATCTATAAAGCTTCTAAGAAGCTTCCATAGAAGATATTATAGAATTAACTTGCTTTTAATTACTTCTATTTATCTATTTATACAAGTAATTACTAGCTTATATGCATATGTCTATGACATTATTCTCCCTTCTAGGGATGAGTTCCATGAAAAGTAGTCATCATATCTTGAAGAAATCTATGATGTGACGAATTGTATTCACCACATACTTAGATCTTTATTTTCTTTGAAGATGGTTGATGGGGCCTCTCAACCATTGATAGTATCCCATACCAGGGCGGAAAGACCATCCTATTATCTGACCGTTGTTGAGGCCTTCATAACTTCTTTCAAATAAAATATTTAGAACACCATTAGGAATTGTTTCTACCTCTAATAAAATTATCAAACATCAGGAGTCTCTTCCAAGGTTGTGATACCAAAAAATATTTCTTCTACTCAAAAAATATCTTACTTTATTACTTATAATTATCATCCATAAGTTGATACTTTTGACTTTTTAAAAATTAATAATCTAATGGAAGAAAATTTGGCAAATTATTTATAAGATCTACATATAATAATGAAGCGACAATTAATAAAAGATTAAGTATAAAAAAAGACTATGTAGATATTTATTATAAGAAATAACTTGAATTCCACAATTATCATTTATATCTACATGTGTCAATAAAGATTCATTCTATATTCCATGTATTTCTTTTTAAGCCATATAAAACAATAGATATATCAAAAAAAAGATAAATAACACCTCTTCTTATAAAAAAAATAAAAAAATAAAAATAAAAAAATAAAGTTGAAGAATTCTTAAATTCAAGCTAATGTCAAAATAGGTTGGAATATTTTGCATATTAGCATGGATATAATATTAGTAAGTATAGATAAGAGCTAGCCAAAAATCTTGCAAATGTAGCAAAGAAGGTTGATGCTTTTTATTATCAACATTCATCAAAATCTGGATAAAGAATCAAGCAATTCTATTATTACAAAAAAAAAAAAAAAAAAAAAAAAAAAAAAAATTATTGAAGATTGTATTCTATTTTGTATATTTATATATAATTTATGTATACTTATATCATTAATGAGATAAAAGATCAATAACTACCAAAATCAAATCACAAGGTATTATTTGTTGAATTTGTAGATAATCCTATGAAATTATCATGGACTTCAAGATGATATAATAGAAATAAAGATGCCTAAGAATGATAAGCTTTTTTTCAAATAGATAGTGCAATAATGAAATAGTGAGATATAATATGTCTTTGAAAAAAGTACCTTATTGTATACAACTAAAGTTTAAGATAATTTGTGGTAGCATAAGTAAAATAAACTATAATAGCATATAGTAGATGACAAGTTGTAGTAGTAATAGCAACACATTACATATATATATATATATATATATATATATATTATTTATTTTTATTTATATATTTATTTATTTACATACATATAAATTATAATTATACATCTATATGTACATACATGTTATAATTATAAATAAAAAAAAATAACAAGTTTAAGATATAAAAGTTCATAACAATGATAATCATGTAAATAAAAATAAATAAATCAAGTTCTAAATTTTGATAATAAATTTGCAAGATCTTATACATACATGCATACATACAAACACACAATTGAATTAAAATGCATACATTTATACTTTCAAAATATTGAATGAATTAGAATTGTAAGTGAACTTAAAATTGTTTGTAAACTTTTTGAATAAAATCAACATTTCAAAAAACAAATACAAACTTTTACATATTGATACAATCAGAATTCTGATTTGACATTGTTGGTTTAATTGTTTGTAATAATGTGGAGTAATTATTGTCATTACAATAGCATAGGAGTAATTAGGTATGTCAGATTCATAGACTTGACATTCACTACAATTATAGTTTTTATTAATTAAAAATGATATATCCAGTTTTCAGTTGTATACTTTAAAGAGATTATTGTATTTGTGTTTTTTCTAAATGTTTCATATATTTGTTTAAAAATTAAAATGTGTATGTTCTTGTATGTATATATGAATGTATGTATGTATACAAAATTATTTTTTCAGAAACATAGATCCTGTAATAACTACAAACTTATAAAGGTTTATTTATATACTACTTTGGAAAAATAAAGGTGGAGATAGAACAAAACATTTGAAAATAATCACATATTATAAAAACTTAACTAAATAAGTGTTAGTTTTTGTAAGAAATATGTTAATTTGAAGTCATGAACTGAATACTAAATGTACCTTTACCAATTTCTGAGGTCTTCATTAAAAAAGAGGCCTAAAAAAGAAATTAAAAATGTGGGTGTTGGTTCATTTGTCAAAGATATTTAATCATGAATTTTCAAATTTAAAAATATATAAAATGTTGTGTTCTATGATTTGTCACACCATGAAATATCAACAACAGTTTTGAAGAGTAAGATATGAAGTACAGCACTTCAGAACATAATCAACATATAAAAGCATCTATCTTGTTCAAATACTAATTTAGTTTTGAGATCTCATGGTAATACAGTCTAAATAAGAAATGCGCAACATTTTTATATCAGTAAGTATCATAAGTTACAACGATAAATTAAACAAATAAATGCATAAATGGATAATGGCTCCCATGCGGCGTTCATAGGTCCCAGAAGTTGAAGTAGGCAGTTAAAGACCTCTAGAGGTTATTGAAGGTGGTTATAGGCCCGAATAGACTGGGTCACCAAACTGCAGTCTTCCGAGGACACAAGACGCATGTAGATGCTCGCTGAGTTGATCCTGAAACCAATCACATTCTGTCAAATAAGTAACACAATGAGCAGCATTGTTTTAGAATGGTCCGGACAAACTGATGAACGATTTGTCACCACGTAAAGATGTAGATCTTTCGTGATGAACCAGAAGAAACCAGGAAAAACCACGCAGAACCCGAAAACTTCGACACTTTCGATGAATTGCTCCTGGAGTCTAGGCTTCCAATCACTTTGTGCCATCAATTGCGCAGGTTTAGATATAGTGACTCGGCATAATTTCGTCGCACCCTGTTTTTCGAGGTCTGATCGGTCGGTGTATTTGCACGTACAGTGGTTGGGTGTGGTTCTAACTCCAACGGCATCGACCAACTTCTCGCTGCAGCTCTTCTCTGCTCCGAGCTTCTGGTTCATCGAGGTGGGGTCTTCGGCAAAGCTCGACGGTGCTGCGCACATGTCGTTGCGCGGCGATTGCCGAAATCCTGCTGTTGCACGGACTGGGTCTCGGGGTGCTTAATGCCTCGTCAATAGTTCACACGATTGTTTTATGTACAGAATCTATCTTTACTTGACGGTTGCTCGATTCACGCCGTGACCGCTCATCGATCCGATGATTGAAGTGGAGACCGAGTTTCAGTGTCGGTGAATTGTAGCGACAGAGGGCAACAAGATCGGTGAAGCATATGCGATCTGGCTCGAAAAGAACGTGTTTCAAATTGTTCCTATATAAATTGAAGCACGTTGCTTGTGCTCAAAACAAAGGCATGTTCGAATCTATTACATGTTTGAAGTATACTATGAAAGTTTGTTATGGCATAATACCGCTACGTATACTTGTACATAGATTCATCCCAATGCATCTATACTTCATATATTCGAATTCACGTGTTGAAATATCTGTATAAATTGAAGCATCCTATAAAATAAACTATTAATAATCATTGAGCTTGAGTCCTAATTCATGGCAGACATTCATGAGATCGCAACGTATAATATTTTCTAAGTTGACAAAATTATTTTCTGTTTGATTGGGAAACATGTGAAAACATGCAACGTGACACAAGCTGATTCAGTGATCTCAACCAGTTAAGCGTGCAAGATTGGCAACAAAATCGTCTGAGAATCCTTCATCTGTAGAACATGAAACGTGGGTACAAAGAAGGTTCTCTACCCTTTTCCTACTTTTAAGTATAGTTTAGTAACTGATTCGTTGATTGGTAACATGAGCTGTAATAAAATTATTGTGGTTGAATCATGGAAGGCAAATAAAGATGTGGAATGATTGTAAGTTGTTTATTAGTAGTTGTATTAAATACCCATAATGTACAGGCGTTTTGTATGTATCAAACTGATTGAGGAATTTCAATTGATTAATTATATGCTTGTGGAATACACAAGTTAGCATGTGTCCACAAATCTTGTCCTATGTGATTGTAATTGATTGTTACTGTAACAATCAACCACGTTTAGTAATAATCAGATACACAGTCAAAATCAAAAATATGATTTGTGCATATATATATATATATATATATATGTGTGTGTGTATGCATAAGTGTATGTATAAAAGAAACAGCTGTTGGCTTTATTTTTAATGCCAATACATGATACTTTTTAATTGATTTTTAAACCAATATAGGCATGTTAAATTATCACTTTCTATGCATCGGTAACAAGAGCTATCATGTATTGTTTCCTATTTTTTTGAAGCACTTTAAACTTCAATAATTGTTTGTAAATGTATAATAAATTAAATTATATGTTAGTAATTCTGATTGATATATTTTTTATGTTTATATGTTCCTTTTTATAAAATCAAAACTATGTGTAAGTTCATAATACCTTCTAAAATTATAATAATTTAATAGAACATTGATAACATAGTTGCAACTTTTATATATATATATATATATATAGATTCCTTTCAAAACATGTTATAAATTTGATGTCAAATAATTTACTAAAATTATCCTATTGTTTTTTAAGTTATTTAAAAAATTCATGGGCATTCTTTTTGTGATGTAGTTCCAATAAAATATTGGAATAAATTATATAAATATACTCATTCATATTATTAAAAACCCAATCCATTGGAAAAACAAATATTTGTAGTAAAATTCATAGATATAGTACAAAAAAATTTAATTAAAAAAAAGTAAGTGTAATATATATATATATATATATATATATATTGACATTTATATTTAAGAATATATTTTTTTCTAAAAACTTCATGATTAATTATGTATTAATTTGACTTTTAGTATTAAAAAATGTTTGTGATGTGAAAGTCAATCTTATATGTTTACTTTTATCTTAGAGACATTGTCAATATTATAAACATATTTAGTTACATTTATATGTACTGTTTTAGAACCATGTAAATTAAATCTTCTTTTTTCTGTATACAAATTTTAAAAGAACTTTATTTGAAGAGTATACAATTCATTCACCAATAAGAGAATTTGTTTATCTCAGTAAAAATTTGCTTCTATCAAAACCTATCATATATTAATTGAAACATATATTATTTAGTATACCAATTACATTTGTAGAGTCTTCTTTAAAATCTCTACTATACTTATGGTAATATTCTATTATTCAAATTGATTTATTTATTTGCTCAATATACCAATCATTTCTAACATACTCACAAAAATATCCCACTATTTATTAATACAAGCTAATTCTATTGTTTAAACAATAATATTCAATAGTCCAAGTATGAGTTAGACCTTGACACATTCCAAATATGCATGCAAAATTACGAAAAAACACATGCGTAATTAAATTCTATTGTGTATCTTTACATGATCATTCTCACCTTAAAGTTTTTGTCCATTAGGCACATTAATACTACTATAGTCTTTTTTCTCTTGTGCTCACCAATATTATAATATTCTTGTAGCACTTACAATAAAGAACTTTCACTCAATTTAAATCAAGCCATCTACATTGTATAGTGTTTATGCATGAATTAAAAGTGGTATATATACATTAAATGTGAATTTCTTTGATTTCTTCATCTATGCATTTGCATCAAAGATTCTATCTATTTGTAATGACTTGTATTTATGTCTTCTCAATCTACATTGATCTTGACAATGATGTTAAATTTATTAAAATGTATAATGCAATTTTTGTTGCTTTGTTTTGTTAATATTTATGTTTCATTTTGTGTAAAAGTACTATGTAAATTATGAAACGTAATAATTAAAATTAATATCTTCAAAAACTTGTAAAACAAAAAAAATTTATAGTGTTAGGAATTTCACATCTAAATCAAATTTATTTAATGTATTAACAATTGTTGAAATCAAATGTAACAAAATATAAAATACAATGCATATGTTATATATATATATATATATATATATATATAAATAAATTTTTCACAATAACGCCCTCTTTGTACTTGGAGAATAAATCTTCAAAAAAAAATTCTATATAAAGTGGTTGTGACTCCTAATCAACTATAGTAAAACTATGTTCTCACTATAACTAGCCTCTTGACCAATAGGACTTTTTATTGCTCTAATTTTTATTTTTGCTTTGATTGACACAAATAGATAATTTAACAAAAAAATTAAAATAAGAACCAATTTAAACTCATAATAGTTATTATAATGTCATCACTATATTATTTGTAATCACTACATATCTTAACAATTAAAAAAATAGAATTATTAAATTGACCCAAGCATTTACTTAATCAAACCACCCATCCTTACCATCATCAAGAAATTCTCCTCTACCAGATCTGCATTGGTCAAAAACTAATGAAAAAAATAATTGGATCCTCAACCAATGATGATGAGTAGATTGATTTAGTGAATGCTTGGGTCAGTTTAACGATCCCCTAACAAAATGATTTTTTGAAGTAAAATCAGTAGGATGGAACAGAATTCGTCGCCCACATTCCGAAAATAACCACGATAACTGAAAAAGGCGATGGATTCCGTGAGAAAGTAATGCTTTTACTTGAAACAAACCGCGTTCCAGAAATAAAAAAAACAGAATCAATGACGTGGCCACTTCGGCGAGGGTCACATCGCCAACTAGGCACGCATGATACACGTCATCAACTAAAGTTGGGGGAGCGATGAGTCAGCAATCCGGTGTCCTCTTTCACATCAACGCTGCTTGTGAAGAGGAAGGAAGTCGTAAGCTCATCACACGGCTCATGTGGTGACAGGTCCTCCTCGCCTACGCGGTGGTGGGGCTTCAGTGAGACGAGGTACCCGCAGATGTCACGAAGTCGAGGAGGGAAAATGAAAGGCACTTTCGATCGATCGATCGATCTCTCTATTTTTTTCTCTTCCTCCTCTTCGTGTCGTTCTCGAATCTCCCCAGAACGTTCAAGAAGCGTGTGCTATTTTTAATGCGGTCTCATTCTTGATCGGAATCGCCCGGCGCACACAGTAACGAACAGCGGCACTTCAGAGACCAACGATTTGATGCGTGAGAACTGGTGTGGAACCGGCACTGTTCATGTGGAAGAAGCTTCGGAGAAACGGAAGTAATTGGAGGGTGGGGGCCAGGGCGGGGCTGAGCAGAATGGAGGTGGATAGGACGCGAGGCATTGCCATGGCGGAACGGAAACGATCGATGACTGCCATCTTGGCATGGCGGATTGTCCCAGTCTCACAGACAAACTGGAAAACCACTAGTAACTGACTGAAGTTGATGTGGAGTTTCACGGGCGTAAATTACTATTTTCGATGTAAATAATCCTCCAGAAACCAAAGACCCTTACCCGAAACGAATTGTGCGTTGTTTGTATGAGCTGGTGCAGCATAAAGACTCTCTCGTGAGTGCGTTCGCTTGAATTGCTAGGTAGAACTTTTGTGTCGAAGAGGCGGAGTGAGAGGAGTAGGAGGTGAGGTTCTGGTGGTGAAATTTACGAGGGAGAGTTGATTTGGAAGCTGAATTGGCGGCGAGTTGCGGAGTACTGGTGGTGAGTTATGGTGTCAAAGCATTGGCTGGAGGTCGAGCCCATGGAGTGTAATGGAGAGGCGCAAGAACGCAAGCAGCGGTGGATTTTGGTAACTGGAGGCGCCGGCTACATCGGCACCCACACCGTCTTGCAGTTATTGATGGAGGGATACTGTGTTGTGATAATTGACAATTTGGATAACTCCTGTGAAGAAGCCCTGCATCGCGTGCGCAAGTTAGCGGGCGAATTTGGAGAGAATTTGAAGTTTGTTAAGGTTTATTCATTGGCCGTTCAACTTCGCTTCGTTGTGCGATTGTAGCAATTTTTATTTCACGAAGAGGTCGCTGTGGACTTGGTGCTGTCGCGTTATACCCGTCCACTTGCATGATTAAAACCAACAAATATGTGTTCACGGTTTCAAGGAGGTCTGTAGGGGTAGTGTTTTTGTCATTGTTAGCGCATGTTGTTTTACAGTTATTTGCTTGAAAAATGTTATTGCTCTGTTGTGTGCGTCGTCTACAAACAGCGCGCGGTGCATGCTTGTTTCACCTAGCTGTCTCTTTGTGCTTTTTAACTTTCTTTGAGGGATTATGAAAGATTGTTTCGTGGTGAATATCTATGTGTGAAATACACATGCAGTTGAGGATGAATTTTACGGAGATCTCGTTTGGCCTTATTTTGATGAGTCATCGAAGACCTATGCTGAGGTTTTATTTACACGTAAATATGCAGGGGGATCTTTGTAAGGTGGAAGACGTACTTAAGGTGTTCAAGCTTCACAGGTATGCCATGTGAAGAAATTTCATTTTTCGTCTACTGCACCCAACGTGAACTTATTGGATGGATGCAACACTTAATTGCAGGGTAATAGATATAGTGCAGCCGTAATGTTGCTAGTGTTTGTCATTACACCTAATTTTGTGCTTAAGATAATAGTTCGTGGTTTATCACACCTGTGAAATATTCTTACAATTCAAAATCGGCAGGTTCGATGCTGTCATTCACTTTGCAGGCCTGAAGGCTGTAGGAGAAAGTGTGTCGAAGCCTTTGCGTTACTACAGCAACAATCTAATAAGCACCATTAATCTTATGGATGTCATGTCCAAGAACAACTGCAAAAATGTGAGAATATTTCCCACCACAGGGGTAGCTCAAGTGGATAGACACTCAATGTTACTACTGCTCAGTTCTCGTGAATGTCTTAAGATAGTGGTTAGTGAGAAGCATCCTACCATTAAAATTCGTATCTCTTGAAATTTTAATATGAGTGGACCATTGGATGCAGCTTGTGTTCTCATCTTCAGCAACAGTGTACGGACAACCGGAGTGCGTACCTTGTACAGAGGACTATCCACTCCATGTCATGAATCCTTACGGCCGCACCAAGGTACTCATCAGCGTCAGAAGTCTAGAGACGTTGTGAGGGCAGAATGTAGCGACACAGGCATCAGTTTGTTTTGACGAAATTGGTGAAGACTTTGTGATTGTAAGGTCACGTTTGGGTGCCGCACTGGAATATGTGAACGAGGGCTTAAGGTTCGATGTGGAACTTGTGCAGCTTTTTAATGAAGACATTATGCGTGATGTTCATCATGCGGATTCAGAATGGAAGATTGTGTTATTACGATATTTCAATCCGGTGGGGTCCCACCCGAGTGGTGAGATTGGTGAAGATCCCATGGATTATCCCAACAATTTGATGCCCTTCGTGCAACAAGTTGCAGTGGGTCGTAGAGAAATGCTCACTGTCTTCGGCAAAGATTACAAAACCCGTGATGGAACTGGGGTTAGGTTTTATGAACTCCAGATGATCGTATTATTTGCTGGAGGACTGGACCACAAATTTCGCGGATAATTTTTTAAAAAGAAATAAGAAATATATCTTCAATTTTTAATTTATTTGATTTTCACAATATTGTTTCGGATTGAAACTTACGAATTTATTTTTAAAATATCGCACTCTGAATGAACAACTGTGATTTGGTGTTTCAGGTCCGAGATTACATTCATGTCATGGATTTGGCAAGTGGTCATACGAAGGCTCTGGACAAACTCTTCACAACTCCCGACATAGGTACGACCTGTCATTCTTTTGAGTCTGGAAATGCAATGTGGGTTCGTAGGGGAGTTGAAATTTTGATGGAATAAACATGTTTGCACTTATTTGAAGAGTACATAGCCTTCTGGACTCGTCCTTGGCTCACTAACTTAGCAATGGTCACTTTAGTCCGCACGTCGAAAAGCGTGGATAATTTACTATGTGTTTAGGAAAAAAATTAACTTCTTTATTTCGGCAGGATGTGCAATTTACAATTTGGGAACAGGGAAAGGCACCACTGTGCTTGAGATGGTGGCAGCATTTGAAGAAGCATCTGGAAAGGTAGCCGTTGATTTATTTGATTGTATATATGTGATGGAAGTGTGCTGTTTACCTGAAAGAATGTGGGTGGGGATTGACACATTAAATGTTCAACCTTCTTTGCAGAAAATTCCATTGAGATTTGCAGGTCGTCGTCCTGGCGACTCCAGTGAGGTCTTTGCTTCAACTGAGAAAGCAGAAAAGGAGTTAGGTTGGAGGTGATTTATTTTCTCCTCCTTTTCTACACGATTCTTTTTAGGATTGATCAATTTTAGCAGTAGTCCATCGTACTTCGTGTATGATCAATTTTGGTCAGTGTGTCATCCTGTTCAAGAACTCGTGCTTACATTTTTTTTGGTCGTGTTTTGTAATCATGTTCGTGGTGGCAAATGTAACTTCTAAATTCGTTTTAACCTGGTCTGGCGTTACAGAGCCAAGTTTGGCATAAAAGAGATGTGTCGTGATCAATGGAATTGGGCAAAAACGAACCCGTATGGATATCGAGGCCAACAAGAACTGGAGGTCACCACACAGAAATCCATGAGTAATGGACATCGAAAACTGTAGTGGTTGTCACTTTGAACGAATGATCACATGGTGTTGTGTAAACTCACTTTTATACAAATGCGAACAATAGAAAAGAAAAGACCAGATTTTTTTTTAAGGATTGGATCAGATTCGATCTTATGCATTTCTCTGTCTCGTAATAGCCATCGAGACTTTGACATAGAGATAACTCCCTTCATGGTAGTTAGTAATAACATAATTTACTCCTAAACTTGGGGCTAGTCTACTGAAACATTGAACCTGATTTATGGAGCAAAGGTGCCTAGTTTCGAATATGGCAGGTGAAGCACTTGAAACTAGGATGATACGTTTAACTTTCGGCAAGTAGCATTTGATTCTTTGTACATAAAGAGATCATCAGTATCTGTGGAGCTGCTGCGTGAATTCCAGATTCAATAAAGTGTAACAGACGCAGTTCATGATTCTTGTGGAATTGCTGGTTTCAGAAAAACAATTCTCTTGCACATCGAAACAGACATCCTATTCAGATCGGGTTGAGAGTGTTTCTCAATCTTTGAACAGCTATTTAATCGCTGATCCTGTTTCTGACCTTGTAGGATTCTTTAGAGCTTAGCACTGTTTAAGCGAAACTGGAAAAGTTCGAGTGGGAGTTCAGCACCGGTGGCATTTGGGCATCATCCCTACCCTATATTCCAGGTTCTTTAAAAAATCTTTTGGTGCAAGGCTACACGGACAAGCGAGGTCCAATACCCTAGCTCCGTAAACTTAAAAATACAAGTTCTGGCATACGAGGGTAATCAAATATCAAGTGTCAATCATATCCTCCTGGAGGTTGGGGCCCTCATTCTCGATCTAACATGTGAGTGTCACCCTCGATTCGATATCCGAAATGATCCCTGCGTGGGAAAGAAACCTGGGGCATCAACTACCCAGCAGGCCATTGGAGCAAATCCTCGGCAAGCAGCCACAGCCTTACGGCACCACATGGAGGGGGATATTGTAATCCCTTTACGCAACGTGCAACATGGATTACATGAAGTTGCCTTCATATTTAGCGTTGCCGTCCTCGTCTCGAAACCTCCTGCTACTGGGGTATCGTTCGGTTACCAATCCAAGCAAGACAATGTTCGAAGGCTTCGCAGCAGCCTTTGGGATTTGATCTCTTCCATGCGAACCAATGTTGTCCAGTGCCCATATTCCGACGTAAATTCTTTTCATCACATGAATACATTCAAGAGACAAAAAATTGCCTTTGGCATTAAATACATTATAATATATTTCAAAACTTATTTTTTATAAATTTATCCAATAGTAATTATTGGCTTTAGAATTGAGATTTACACATAATTTCATTCTTCATTACAAACTCAAATTGACATTTATATTATACTTGCATGTAAGCACATCCTTTCTATAAATTTATTAAGTTTTTGATGGTTATGCTAAATCAATATGTATTAGTATATTGCTATATGCTACTGTTGTTGGATAATTTTGTTAATGACCAATTATTTTACTTGATATAAGATGCCAAATATAAGCTAATTGCTATTATAATTACAAAATAAATTTAAAAGTTTAAAGAATCACATTGGTAAGAACTATAAATTTAATATTTAAAAATTTAATATGTTGACTTTAAAATTCCATATTTATTTGAATTTATTTTAAAAAAAAGATTCTAAATTATCTTATAGTATAAGAAAAATTATACAAAACATTATCTATCTATTAAATTTATATTAAACTAATTTATTAAAAGAAATTTAAAAATATGTATACACAAATTTCTATTAACAAGATGTCAAGTATTTATTATATAAGCTATCTTGGATATAAGACAAAGAGACAAAGAAGTTTTTTGATTGATTGTGAAGAAGAAAACTCAAAGAACTTGGGAAATACAAGGAACATAGGGAACGTGGGAACAAAAGAATGTTGAACTTATGGAAAGTGGGAAATAGGGAATATGAGAACAAAAAAACCAACATGAGAATGAGAGAATGTAGAAACGTAGGAACTAAGGAACATGGAAATGAAGGAGCATGAATAAATGAGGAAATGGATGGATGTGCCAAAGATTACAATTCTCAATGGTATAAGTTTCTGCCAATATTATATATATATATATATATATATATATATTGATGTTTATATTTGATGTAATAATAAGATTATTTTTTATTATTTTTTATATTTTAAATAATAAAAAATTATTATATATATATTTAAAATTAAATTATTTGATATGAATAATATTTTTACAATATATAATATTATATATAAAGTTATATAAAATTAAATTTAATAATTTTTGTATCAATTAATTTATTTATCTAAATTAATTGAAGAAATTATTGTTATAGAAATTATAATTTAATTGACACATATTTGAAGCTTAATATTGAATTTATAAAAAATATTCTTTTATTTTATAAAAAAAATGTTAAAACTATAGTTATTATTTTAAATATATGTTATATATTTAGGAAAATGATAAAGCAAACCAAGTTTTTACTAAATCAATTCACATGCCTCATTTCCAACTGTTCCTCTGTTTCCTTGTTTCCAACAGTTGCCACTGTTTCCAACCCCATGTCCCATCTTTAGCAATGGTTGGAAAACAAGAAATGGTTGGGAACAAGAAGTAATTGAGAACAAGAATGGAGGCTCTAAGGATGTAGTGATGCTTAAGATAGAGTGGATCACTTTAGTAAAAATTTGGGTTGCTTTATCATTCTTCTATATTTATCCTATTTTATTTCAATGACTTATTTAATTATAAGTTATATTTAAAATGGTTTTTCTTAATAATTATTGTTATTTTGGGTCAATTCTAAAGACCTAAAAAATAAAATTGATAGATAGATATAAGATGTCAAAGAACAAAAAGTTCTTCATAAAATAATATCTTTTACAAGTTTTTATTTATTTATTTATTTTATGCTCATTAATGTGGAATGAGAGACATCTCTTATTTAACATCAATAGAAAAAAATTACAATTTTAAGAATTGGTTTGTATATATATATATATATATATATATATAAGCATTTTGATGTCTTTTACAATCAATAATCAAACATGTGATCTTATTTAATGCACAAATAATCTCATAATGATTAAAATGTGACTATGTTCTTATATTAATAGTTATTCAAATTGACATTATAATAAATATATTAAATTGTATTTATATTCATATGCATTAGATTATAGATATTAGAAACAAATGCTTTATTGGATTTTAAATTAATTTTTGTATGTTTTTAATGGAAAATTATCTTAAAATATCATTTTGAATAGTTTATGAATTATTTCAAAATCAAAAAGGGTAATTTTATTTTTTAAAATAATTATTTATTAACTTCTCATCTGTAAATTGTTTTCATATTTATGAAGTTTAAACTCAATTTAAATAATAAATTGAACCAAAAAGAATTGAAATTAACTTTATGAGGTTATATTGTTATTTTTGTATTCTTCCTATGTGTCTAAAATATAAGAAACCAACATATTCAAATCCCATAATGTAGAATTAAAATTGTAAAAATTAGACAAGAGGCTTAATTGAATATTTGATTTTATAAATGTGACTTGGTTCTTTTTGAGAAAGAATTTCACAAAAAAATATCATATATATATATATATATATATATATATAAGGTTTCTTTCTACATTCACGTATTAATTTATAAAAGTAACTTTAGAAACTCACATTATGTTTTAATTTAGAATAGTTGGAGAAATCATTTTGACTTTTACATTAAACATAAAGTTCTACAAAACTTTTTTAAAATTTTATCAAAATAGCATTCTACATGGATGTGATGCATTCTTTAATTTTAATATAAAAAAGATTGTTAGTGACGCAACATGATGACTTGGATGTAAGTGATTGGATGGAGTTACCATGACAATGGCAAGACTCCAACATTCGATGTGAAGCCACGGAGACAGAAGAAGCTCCCAATTCCAAACCGAGATTTAGAACCGGCGAATCCTACCTGAGCATGTCAATAGCAAGTACCAACTGTACAACTTCTGCTTACCCGGGTATCTGTAGCACATACTATACCTGTTCATACACCCGCCCAGTCATGAGAATGTGGAACATACCCGTTAGCCTAGGTAGAGTGCAAATATTAGGGTTTACTCCTCATCGATGTCTTTCAGGGCTTCGCGACACTGTTTCTGTTGCAGACAAATGATTCTTCCGACGTAGGTTTCATCAATTTCGTTTTACGGACTGTGCAGCTCGGAGTATGGAGAGCGCGGCGCTCCGCAGAGCGTTGTGCTGCCCTCGCATTCGTTAATTTCGAGGGTTTCTTCATCCTCCAACCATACTACGTCCCTATTCGGCACTTGCTTCGCTGGAGTCGGTTTGGAAATTGGTTCAGGAAATGTCATCTTCTCTGAGCTTCAGCTGAGAAAACGGCGGTTTCATTGTAATTTTTGGATTTTTTTTTTTGGTTAAGTGAGGCTTCCAGAGAATTCTACGCGTGAGAGCCAGGTTGATGACATTGGAGGGGTTAGGATTTTCGTCGCCATGGCTGCGCCGGACGAGGCCATGTTTTTGTATGACACTTTAGCGCCGCTTGGGGATGAAAATTCAGAGATCGGGAAGAGAGATTATACCAGCTTGAATACTTCCTTTCTGCCGCTTGGAAGCGACGGGAGTCCGAGTAGAGAGGACTCTGTAGTTGAACTGATAACGTCGTCTGTGGAACGGCAAGAGGCAAAGGTTTTGAGGAACTCGTCACAGAAGTCGAGTGGCTTAGCAGGAGGGAGCAGCTTGACAGCCCTAGTTGCCGCGGAGAAGGCGGTGCTCGCCAAAGCCTCCACCCAAGAGTTCAAAGCGAGGGCTTATACCTCAGGTTCAACTGGCTTGGAAGTGCTCAGCACTGTTAATACATATTCTCTTACTCGAACCAATATTCAAAGCATTGGCAGTCCTCAAGTTGAAGACGATGCCGAAACATCAGAATTTATTGCCCTGGATATGGATGACGGGATTGATGCGACTGTTGTACATGAGGCATTGCAATATAAAGGAAAGGGGGTGGGCAATCTTGTAGACCGTAGTTTGGCTCCGAAAGAAGCTCCTCCCTGGGCCCGTGGTCGCGACTCATGGATTCAAAGTCCCCTGTTGCAGCTCCATCAAGGTTAGTTGCTCCTGGTCAATAAGATAGGTTTGCTTTTCCATGTTTTTTGTTTACAGTCTAAGAACATCTCGGAGGCTTCAAATCATCCTCGCGAATCAATTTCTGCACACGTTTCTTTGATGACGATCAGTATAGCTGCACTCAATATCTCATTTACTACGTATCGCAATGTCCAGAGATTGTGGATTTCTGCGAGTTTGTTGCACCAACTGAGGAAGAACAACAGATGCGAGAAACCGCAGTGGAGCGAGTAAGCGGTGTGGTTCAGTCAATTTGGCCTCACTCCCAGGTATCACATTCATCCTATTTCATGCTATTGAGTGATTATTGGATTGTTTTCGTTGAATCTCCATTTTGTTACGAATTGATGGTATATCTCTTGATATTAATGTCGCTATCAAATGTGATCGTTTTAAGTTTTTTCTATGGAGAGCATTGTGGGCTTCAATTGAGGGTTAGAGGGTTTTTGTGATAACGCAGGTGAAGGTTTTTGGTTCATTTGCGACTGGTCTCTACCTGCCCACCAGTGATGTTGACGTAAGCTCTTTTATTCGGCTGTTTGAACCCATTTTCATACATCCAGGAGGATTTTATCGTCCAATGGATCTTTCCTGTCTGTAGAGGGTCCATTTTGTGAGTGGATTTATCTTTCTTAGCAGGTTGTTGCAAATTCGTCTCTTTTCCAACTTTCATTTTTTCTTCCCAATGAAGACGAGGTTTTCAGCACGAATGTCAAAGTTTGTACTCGAGTTCTGAACCTTTCCTTGCTACTTGGCCTTGCCAGGTGGTTGTTTTGGACTCTGGATGTACCGCTCTACAGGATGGATTGAAAGCTCTTGCAAAAGCCTTGACGAGGGGTCATGTGGGCAAAAATATCCAGGTTGGTATTATCTTGTCTCTAGCAGTCAATTTAACTGAAGTACTTTTTCAGGGCTATGACTGAAAAGCTTTTATTGCACTGTACATGCGAGTAACGGAAATGTTGGATGTGTGTTCATGTGAAGATGTTTTTCTAGTATGCCGTATGTTGTAAAAATGTGCGGTGATCCATAATTGAGTTTTTCATCATGAAAAGACTCCTGTTTGAATCTCTACATTGACATAATTTATGTACTTAACCTGTTTTGTGTATGCTTGGTTTTAGGTCATCGGCAAAGCTAGAGTACCCATTATAAAGTTTGTGGAGACAGTAAGCAATATACCCTTTGATATCAGGTATGTGAGGGTCATCACGCAAACTCAGGTTCACAGCGATCATTTTGCCTAAAAGTCTCAAAAGTTCAATATGAACTGTTTCTACGCAAAGTATGAACTGCTCTGAGAATCCTTTTGTGTTTGTTTGTCCAAATGTAACACTTACTAGAGATGCTATTGCGTAGAGCTCGGGATCAGAAGCCTTTAATGTTGTCTTATGCTGCCAGTTGCATTCGTTGTGCTCGGAGCTGAAAGTCTTAGTTTAAGTTGAATCAATTTATGAGGGTCGAGCTAAGAATTCTTGGTGCATTTTGAGCTTATCAGTTCGTTAGGTGACGTCTTCTGCACGGCAGTTCGATGGTTTGTTTTGCATTACCTGTTTAAACATTGTCCTTCAGCAGCTTCACCATGTTGGTGACCAATGTGTAACCTGATTTCTGATATCCTGCAGTTTTGATGTTGCAAATGGACCTGAGGCTGCAGACTTCATTAAGGTACTTGCTGCATTTATCTTTTATGTAACATTCAGAGACCACTAGGTATTGGGAAGAGCCTACGCACATGGACTGTAGATTTGTGGAGTTTGACATATTGTTTCCTAGGGTTATTATATCTGGAACTTTCTTAACATTACCTTTTCATACATATATCCTACAGGCTGCTATGGGAGCTATTCCACCTTTGAGGCCATTATGTTTGGTGTTAAAGATATTTTTGCAGCAACGAGAACTGAATGAGGTATTATGCGTCTGCTATTGGGGTTTTCCTCCAAGGAAACGACTCTGAAGTCATTTGTTTTGTTTTGTTTTTGGTTTTTATTTTTTATACTGTCAACACTAATCATGTGACTTTCAACAAGGAAATTGCCTTCCGTAGCTGCCAAATGGTTCAGATATATCAAGTGATGAGATGAGTCCATTTTTAGGGTTGATCAACCAGTATCTCAGTTTTACAAATTTCTTGGTTGTCTAATATCTCCACAACGAACTTCTGCATGTCTATGGCTTTTCTGTAGGTTTATCAGGGTGGAATCGGTTCGTATGCTCTGCTCGTGATGCTTTTGACTCATCTGCAGGTTGGTTAGACCTACCTGTACCAGCGGACGGATCCTTTTCTGCATTTGCTGACGAGGTCTCTACGTGTCTTTAACATTTTCATCCTGACTCATAAAACTTGGAACAAGATAAATATATGTACGGTGTAAGTATTGGAGTAAGCAAACCTGGATGTGTTAAGTGTATATTAGACAAGTTCTCACTCCCTTTTTGATTATCTCCGTGTCATGCAGATGCATCCAAGCAAACGTCGTGTTAGTAGTCGTGGCCAAGGTCCTCCACTTGAAACCAATCTCGGCATTTTACTGGTAACATCTCATTCTTTATTGATCATTCAGTATATAAATTGGTAGTTCATCTTTACTCAATACTGAAGTTCCTTTGCTTACTACCCATTTGTATTTGGTGAAATCCAGCTGATGTAGTTCTTGACTACTTAGCTTATCACAATTAAAGGGGCGGTGAGCTTCATACATGTCTCACTTGGTTATTATTACACGTCCTCTTATGGCCTTTGTTCCCTTGTGTGACTCATCTGCGATTTGATGGTGTGGCTTATATCAGGTGGATTTTTTGGATTTGTATGGTCGGACTCTCAACATGAAAGATGTGGGTATATCTTGTCGAGGTGGAGGAAGGTTCTTTCCCAAAAGAGATCGAGGGTGAGAACATGCTCAATTTTTCATCATCACGATTTAGTTCAAGTTCCTCATTACATGAGGCTCTGACTTGCGTCCATGTGCTATTGTTTTTCACAGTTTCAATGACTCAAAGCGACCGTTTCTTCTTTGTGTTGAGGATCCACAGGTGAGTAATACATCGTGTTTTTACAATTCTGATTGTGAGTTGTCTAGGATATTCTTTCTAAGTGTGTTTGTCTGAATCGCTCATGGAACGTTTCTCACTGTTTTTTTACATCGTGCAGTCACCAGATAATGACATTGGAAAAAATTCTTATGCAATTCAGAAGGTACGTTCCATTAGTCTCTATCTGGACAGTTAAAAGACCCCTGAAGCATCAAATATGATCCTTTAGTTATTGCTCGACTGTATCATATCTAGATGATCGTGACTGACCAAAACAGTCATGTAGTTAACAGCTTACTTAGATTTATCTGATTCTTTGACTCAGGTCCGTTCAGCATTTATGATGGCACATCGGCTCTTGACAAACTTGAGTGCAAACAATGAAGTTGGTATACTAAGTCGAATCGTTCGTGTGGATGAAAAACTTGTGGGGCGCAAAGTACCTGCAGCCCTTACTCCGATGGCACAGAGTGTGCCTGCAAAGAGATCACGTCCGGCAACCTTTGCTGGATACTATCATGAATCCAAACCTGTGTCGGATGAGGACCGGTATGTTGTAGGTGATGGAACATTCTCAAATTCAGATTCCGACGATGTACTGGCGTACAAGACTCCACAGAGAGGGCGTCGAGGTCGCTGGCAGGACTACGAGGAGGAGGATTTTCCTAGGGGAGAATCAGCAGATGGTTATCTGTCTAAGAAGGCTAAAAGAGCTCATAAATACAAAGAAAGGGGTAATGATAAAGATCCATATCCTATGCCTCAATTTACACCTGACAATTACAAAGATATTGTCTCCCTACCTAAAGAGAAAGGAAGTGAGCACTCAAGAAAACGCCGTCGAGAGGAAAACCTGAAATCGCATTACAACTCCAGTGATGTACCGAGAACCAAGAAGTCATCGAATGTGGCGGAGAATTCTGGTCCAGAAGAAGGAGAAGTTAAACTTGGTCGAAGAGCCAGAAAGCGTGAAGAATTTCTGAGGTGGAAAGCTGAAAAGAGCGAACGTGAGAGCAAGAGCTCGAGCAATGCCATCGTGAGTGACGAGGAAACCACAAAGCGTGCAAAATCTGCGGCTAGGGACAATGGACGTAATCAGCACACGCATTGGAATGAGGATGAAGTAGACAATTCCAGAAGCAGGAAGAAGCATTCTAGATTCAAGGAGACGCCAGCAACTAACAGGGAAAAAGACATCAAGGATAGGTTGAGGGGTGATGTATCTGATTTTACACGCCGAATTGTTGTTACGAAACCTGCGCACAAGAAAATAAAGTATATGTAAGTTCTTCATCCAGGAAAGCTTTGGTTGTACTATGGTTTATTTTGGTGCCTAATTCATGGTATGTTGGTAGGTGCCGATTTTCACTGGCAACTTCGATTAGATTGTTTTTGCGCATGGGAAAGTTATTACCGACACTTGAGTTGGACAAATCTATTCAATTGATAAAAGAAAGCTTCAGTTGGAAAATTCGATATTATGTATAAAGTCGAAGCAAACACTTGCAATTTAGTCTTGTACCTCGAGAGGTGTCTTCAGTGGGGTTAATGCAAACATGGGAATCTAGTATGCTTGATCTAAACTCTGAAAGCCCAATTCCACGCCACTAAAAGTGGGCTAATTTTGCTCAGAATTGGGGCACACTAGTGAGACGCTGAAGGTGATGAGATTGCTTTTTTTGTGTTCTTGCTAGCTTTGTTTGAATTTGTGTCCCCACAAACAGCTATTGGTGCCATTCAAACCTGAAATCATCCTCGCTCACAAGTTCAAAGTATATGTACACGCTTATTCTTAAGTAGCACTTCTAGTTGATCACAATGAAGCAACATTACCTACATGAGTGTACACAAGAATGTATAAAGAAGAGCCTCTTCCTTTTGTAAAGAAAATGGGTGATGCGAGATCCTACATTTGGTGCCTGCCTAAAAAATCATGCATCGAGGGTGGAACCCATCGTGTGTGTTTCCTTGCGGTGGCGTCGCCCGTTAGTGCCAAAGATGAGCTGAGGTGGATGGACATGGCAGCTGCACCTCTAAAGGTTCAAAGAGTTGTGATGTCTGTGGTTACGTATAAATATTTGTTTGTTTTTTTGTTTGTTGTGCTATTTCATTGACCAGGTTTTGAGGTTGATTGTAGTGTCCGTACAATCAAAACACTTTTTGACAAACTGTGCACTGCGATTGGGTCACAATGTTCATGCCCACAGAGCCACAGTTCTCTTCAGACCACAAGAGATTTGCAAATTTTAGCTTTATGATTTAGTAGGTATCATGTAAAATATTGAAGTAATTCATGTTTGACAAGTACTATGATTTTCAATTTATTGATGAGTGTTTTTGACTGAGTTGTCTTATACATATGTTTCTAGTTGCTCTTAAGATTTTTTTGAAATTATCGTACTCTAGATAGAGTGCAACAACTATGTGCACCAAAATTTTAATTTGAATTACTATTTAGTTATGATATACTTACAAGCTGTAGCACAGCCAATACGAAACTTGGCAAAGGAATCACATTTGCTTGGAGGAAGGAAGACCAGGCACATGTGTGCTCTTTTTAATACATAAAATAGAACTCTTCGAAGGGAAGTTTCTATAGACTTTTTCGATGTTTCATCTCAATGAAGTGCTAATATAGCAAGAGTTCGCCTACGTGTAGTCTTCGCTACAGAAGCTTTATGCCACTTTGAAACATCATTGCGAGGAATGATAAATTAAGAATTTTTTTTCTGAATACTCCAAGTTGCATGAGTGATGTTGCATTATTTAAACAAGGTGCTCCGTCAAAATTTTGCCTCTTCCCCAAATCCAACCACACAACAAACACATTATTTACACTCGAATTTGTTCGTATTTTCAAAAAGGGTAAAGAAAAGCAAGCAAGACCCGGGTTGAGTTCAATTAAGGGTTGCGGTCCTGCCCTTTGTCCTGTTCAAGTTAAAGATTGCATCATTCCATTGCGAATCAACCTGACCTGGCATCTCTATCCTGCTCTCCGACTTGCAAGACCTTGACCACTACAGCACTGTGAGAGCTACAATTCCCCCACTTGGGTGAGAAGAATCAACTCCTGGCTTAGCTTCTTGTAGACCTGTGGTTATGCCCTCTACTACTGATGGCCCTGACACCACCCGATTAGACGTTGAATACAGTTCTCCAAGGAGTTAGCAGCCCTAAACTTACTGGCAAAACCTCTGAGATACTAGTTCCGCGTCTGACAATTATCACATCCTCTTCCGACTGCATGGTCTGAGCTTGTGAAAGGCTGCACTCGCCTGAGCACACGGCCGAAGCTTTTTGCTGGTTTCACGTCCATCATAGCTCTTAACCTGCAACACATAATTGTCAAGAGCGCAAGCTTGATGCTTTATGTTGAAATGGCATTCACTTGTACGCAGAAATGACAGACGGAAATGAGTACAGCCAGGCGTTTGATTTCGTCGATCACTTGAGGGAGGGGGGGGGGGTGTTTGGTGCACATTGTTTGTAGTGGTTGTGTAGCGCTGCTCATTCGGTTGGATTTGCAGTGGTAACATTGACTACCTGCTTGTTGAATTTAAAAAAGCAACATGCAAAAAGTCGAGAAATGCACGAACTTAGTATCGGCAAAAATTGTCTCAAGTATCCTCTGACGCCATACATATCGATGATTGTGAGGCAGTAATACGTATATGATTGAGAGTGTGTTTGGCTTCAACGCTGGAATGAAGACAACAATCTGAACAAACATTAATCTCTATCTGATGTCGCACACAAAGCTCAATCTGCGCACCTATGTAATTTTTACACCCGTGTCCAAAAAAGTGTTAGGGGTGCACTCCGTCCACTCAGCTTCTCCGAAGCTACTCGAAGTGCTACAATGACGGTTCTGGCTGCGGAATAAAGTTTACATTTCTACATTTATCGAATATGTGACAAACTGGCTTGTATCCAGCAGCACTGATGCATCTAATCCCTAAGCAAGTGATTTAGACTAATGCAAAACCTGCTAGCTGCGCAACATAACGAGTGTTAAAATCAAATTGGATAAAGTGGATGCTCCAAGTCCAATCTCCAGGTACTCTCCCAAAGTGAAAAGTTCCGGCTTCTCGTCTAGCTCTAGCTGCAACACATGAATCAGGATTGCAAGTCTCAACTACTAACTGGTCGGTATAGTAATTTCGGATGGTTGTGTGGCCCCAAGCAGAAACACAGGAGCTGTCATCGGCTCCTGTCAATCACGTTTCAGCTTCCAACATGAGGTTGAAGCTTTGTTTATTCCTCTCTTCTGTGGCTAAGACGTTATCGTCAGCCAAGGCAAATCAATCGAGCCCCTCTCCATGGGCTTCCTCTAGAATCCGAGACGGAAGCCGATTCCCCGACTCGTCATACGTGATAATCCCTGAGAAGGAGAGCGGCCGACAGCGCCTACCTTTGGGAATTGTTCGCTGCCACAGAGCACCATTACCGTCTCGATCATAATGGTCCACCACTTCGGCTGCTTCCAGCTCCTGCGACAAACCACTAGCACAACTACTCGTGCTCATCGTGCTTCTCGGAGTCGCCTCTCCGTCCTCTTCAGCTGACCTCATCACCAGTGGACCACGCACGGCACACATACCCATTGCAGTCCCTTCAGCCAACTCTTCTTCTCAACTTCCAAACTTGACAACAAAGTAACATGACACGCTTCCACCCCCCGAATCCTACCACAAACTCTCACTTCATTGCCAGAGCCCAGACCTCACAAAGTGAAACAGTAACTGAGACCTCGTAAGCAGACAGATATAACGAATATCGAGCTTCCAGTGTCAATAAACGACATAGCTGCGAGTTCTACGCCAAGACACTGAGAATCTAGACGAGGAAACGAGCCAGCCACTGTTACGATATATGCGACTCTTGTCGCAGTGGCCGGTGAACGTGATATTCTACTCTCTGTGATATGGGTCTCTCTCTCTCTCTCTTTCTGCGAGTGAAAGAGTGAGGGAGAGTGTGCATCGAATCCGCTCTCATGCGGTGACATCGCAACATCACCGACTTGTCTAGAACGCCCGGTGGCCTGGAATCGCAGAATCGCAGCATCGATCGCCGGAGTTTGGACGCGTAGCACCGATCACCTATTCTGGGTGGGAAAGAAATGAGCTTTTTGCATTTTAAACTTGCGAGAGGTTGATAGTGGGTCTTGGTGAGAATGGATCCAAACTTGATTTATTGTTATTGTTATTCTTATTTATATCAATAAGTGGGACTGCTCCTCCGACATGAGATTGATTCAGTCAAGCTCTCTGTATTTGGAAACAATAGGTGCCAATAATTCCCCTCTTTGTCTCAACACTTGCTCTCTTTTTTGTTTTGTTTTCTGGATTTGGTCGGTGGAGACTGATGCTTTCTTTTGATTAAGCTTTCAAATGTGACTTGAAGAGTACAATTGAAGTGAGTGTATTTAACCTTGAAGCATATTAAACTCTAGAATATATATGTATAAATATACACATACATACATACATACATACATCCATTCAGGCTTGATTCAAATTTTAGAGCTTCAAATCATTAGTTCTTTTTTGTAGCCAATCAAGGTTTTAATGTTTATTTTAGGGATTTAGCTTCTCATTTCTATCAAGTCCTTATTATGCATATTATTTTAAACTTGATTATTTTAAAGTTTTATTATCTCTTTTTGTTCTATATTTGTTTTTTTAAAATTATTTGAAATTTGGTTTAATAGGACTATTTTTTAATTTTGGTTAAGTTATAAAAATTTTTCTTTCCACACCTTAGTCTAAGACCAATGTTATAGCACCAATCATCTCAACAATTGGGTTTGCCAACTACCACAAGAAAATTGGTGTTGTAGTCTATTTCAAATTTCAAGTGCAATATTGCTAAAATTACAATTCTATCACTAACAACTAAATAATATCATCTACTATTAATCATATATGTAAATATAATAATATTTCTTAGGACTCTACTAATAACTCTTAACAACAACAATATAAGCTTTGTATATTATCTATAATATTAACTCCTTTATTTATAAAATATAATTAAATAACATTTTTACCACTTTTATCAACTCAAAAAAAGAAGAATTTAGAATCAACTTTTAAGAAGTCATTTTAGGAGAATCTCTTCTAAAAGAATATACATGCTACTATAAAAATATGTAAATTTTAAACTTTCATTGTAGGATTATGGTTAGTAACAAATTCTTTGGATAAGAAAAATAGAATTTTATTTTTTTTTAAAAAAAGAAAAGAATATTGTATGTTATATAGCTAAGCAAGTTTTCAAAATATTGCTAGAATTATAACTAATTTTTTTATAATTAAAGATTCATAATAGACTCATTTAAAAAATAAACATATATCAAAGATTTTTTATTTATCAACATCCATATTAAAGAGAGAGCTAATATTTTATTGTTACTATAATTATTTTACTTACAAAGATTTCCATAATTTCTAAATCTTGGAAGTTTAGATCTTAAATTTTTATCTTTTAATCAAAATAAGAAAACAACATAAAAATTCTTCTAAGACTATATTTTTTTAATTTAAGTTAATACATATTTTTAGATCCAAATAACTTCAATATAAAAATGTATGACAATTCTAAATAAAAAGATATTAAGATCTTACTTAGAAATTTTATCATGATTAAATAATTTTAAAATATGTAAGTAAGTAATAAACTAGATCAGAATGTGATAACCAAAGAATTATTGATAAGATGAATTTATAAGCTACGAAAGAAACTTAAATCACACATACATATAGATTTTATTTTTTAAAATTTATTTTTATGTATATTTTAATTTCAAGGCTAAAGGCTTGTTATTTAAACTTCTAATGTTTTTCTATCTTAGCTACCATTAGAAGATTTTAATAGAACTTTCTTAAGATGATATATTATCTATGTCATCAAAACATCATATTAAAGAAGTTTCTTTACAAAAAATTTTGAGCTTTAAAAAAGTCTCTTTATTTAAGAATTGTTCTTTAAGTTTTTATATATAAAATCTAGAGATTTTTCTACAAAGTTTTAAAAAAATAATAACAACCTATAAATTATATATATAACACCTATTATATTTTATCCTTCTTTATCTATTTGATCTAATATCATTCTAATTCAATATTTTGATTTAGCTTACTTCAAATCAAAAATCCTAAATCTTTTTATATTGATAAAGTTCATACCTTTTTTTTATCCAATGTTAATAATTTTACTTCCAACTACTAATTTTATGGCATATCTATAAATTATTTGATTAATTAATTAGCTATAGAATATAAAATTATAAAAAATATGATTAGTTAATATTAGAAACTAAGTTATATTATAATTAATATTTAATTATTTTAAGATCTAAAACTCTACTATAGAAGTATTATATAAACCTTATGGTTTTTTAAAGCCTCAACATTGCCTCATTATTAGCTAGTATATCTAAAAGGAATACTAAAATCTAACTTTAGTTTCAAAATTTATTTTTTATATTCTAATCTTAATTCAAAGTTATATATATATATATATATATATATATATATAGTTATTTTTTGTAGATATATTTTAATTTAGTATAAAAAAGAATAAATTATAAATGGTATAACCATGTATATTATAAAAAATATACATTTAATTAGAATTTTTCATTAGTTGGAAGAAATATAGATCCAAAATATTAATTTTAAATGGATAAATAGTAAGAAACTTATTAAATTATTTTATTCACTTTTAGGCAATAATTCTTTAATTTTTCAATCAAATTATTTAATTTTAAAATAAAATAATAAATAAAATAATAAATTTGATTTTTGGACTACAATCAACATAGTTCTAATTCAAGAGTTAAAGTTATCAATTATAAATTAGTAGATGTAAATCACAATGTTGAGGTTAATTAAGGTAGTCAATTTATTCTTAGTAACTTAAGTATTTCAATATATATATATATATATATATATATCTAGTAGATGTAAAAATAAAAATAAAATACTTCTATTTAGGAAAATAAAAATAAAGAATATTTGAAGTATTTTTATATAATTTGGATAAAAAAAAATTATATAAATATTTTAACTAAAGATTCTCTTCAATCCATTTCAAACATACAAGTCAAGCTAATTTTCACTAGTGGTGGGTTATAAAACCAAGAATCTAAATTTTATTAAAACATGATGTATAGCATTTAATTATGCTATCAAATTTCAACTAATTTTGTGCTACCTATGCATGTAAATAAATGGATGAAGCAACAAAAGTTCAAACAGTAGGTTATAAGTAATCCACCATATTTGAGTGGAATTTTTGCTACCATTCTTTTTTATTTTTACTCATCTTTAAATAATATCTCATACATCTTTCAACTTTTGATTTTGCTCCAATGGATTCCTAAAGATCTCTCTCTACTATAGGATTGCAAAAGCCACTCATAAGATATCAAAATGTATTACAAATTTGTGAGATTTAGATGAATCCAAAATTGTTGTGGTTGCAACATGGATTGTTTAGGATTAATATAGTTTTGAAATGGCCTCCCAAAGAGAAAATGAAGGCCCTTCATGAATTATGAACCATATACTAGAGGATGAAATAGAATACAAACTAGCCTATTATCATGGACATACATATTTGCTCTAAGATTTACTTATATGATTAAACATAAGTAGATGAAAGTAGATTTATTTCATAATATTTTCTAGAATAGCTTCCTAAAAGCTTCATAGATGCTACTTTGACTTTACATGTATTTGTAGTTGATTGGTAGGTTAGAAACTTGGTCAACAAGTTAACCACATATTAATAGCTTGTGAAACATGCTAACTATGTTGCATACATATAAAAAACTTGCCTTGCAAGTTAAAATATATGTCTTGCAAAGTCAATGCATTTTGGAGGTCCTATTGGACATCACTAGGTAGCTCCTAGTTAAGAGTATATATAGAGGTAAGAGTGAAGCCTTTTTCACTCTTGTCAACACCTTTCTATTCTTTAGTCTTCTTTCAAGACTTTTTAGTCTTCTTGTCTTTGGAAATAGCCATTCTATTGTAATATCATATCATCTTTGAGTGACTTTGTAGTTCTTTTGAGTGACACAAGAGTGTATTAAGGATTTCTTTTTTCAAGATTTTTGTCCTTGACACGTGTATGCTAGAAGTTGTGGTCAAGTACTTGATTGCAATAGTAAGGATAGATGCTACAAATCAATTTCAAGTAAGCTTGCACTAGTCTCAAATCCAACTTTTATATCCATGTGTGTTGATGAAGAGGTCCCAAATTACATCGTCCATCTACACTCCATGCTAGAGTCTTAGCATCAACAATCTTTATACACCTTTATAATCCCTCATAGTTTGATTTGGAATATTAAATTTAGAATTATATATGAATATTATGCAATTAATTCAAGATAAAAATCTTGATTAGAAAAAAGAGAATGAAAGAACAAAGATTTGACAAAAAGAATCAAAACGCTAAAGATTGATGGATTTAGAAAAAAAGAGGATTTTAAAAGAAGCTTGTCATGGAAAAAAAATAGACCTACAAAGTTGTTGAGTGAGAGGCTATTATGGAAGCATATGCCTACAAGGTGCTTGAATAACTAGCCACATGCAAAGTAATTACATCTACAAAGTTGGTACAACACTTTCAATTTTAAGCCTAATAGGTGAAGTCTTGGATGCTGGAGCTTACAAGAAGGTTGTGAATATCATCAGGATTATCTAGCATAAACATTCTTGCATGGAATGCAAGGTGATTTTTGAACCAAGTCGATACTATAGGAATTTTTTTAATCTATGTCAATATTGTATTAATGATTTTAAAAAAATGACTATAGAATCCACATTATATCTTATTAGATTGGACATATTTGTAATTGTGGGTACTATTAAGAAGCAAGTTATGGATTTTAGATTAAGGCATATAAGATCTAATTCATCAACTTTTTTTGCCAACTCCAAATCCGACATATTTATTTTAATAAATAAAAAAAATTAGTGGTAGAATTTGGAATAAGCTCTAAATTTGTTGTATTGTTGTGAACTAGAAAGACATGTAAGTCTTCACCAACTAATTTCATGCTTTTGCCTTCATTCTTTGCAAAATTTCCAATTGTGTTGTTTTATCTTGTCCAACTTCTTTTACAGATTGTATA